AATGAGAAAAATTGAAAGCTTCAGGTTGTGGTATGCTTTTTTTAAGAAGTGTAATAGCAACGTGTTTGAAGATGTTTTCCTTAGAGTGAGTTTTGGGGGAGAGGAGATAACTACCCTTCCATCTTGCAGGTGGATTGGCTGGGGATTGAGGCCATCTCATTGCAGAGTGAGCAGTGAACCGTTTTTGTCTGTACACTGACCTGTGGCTGATTTCGCACCCTGACATTCCTGCCTGAGAGAGTTTGTAAGGGGGTGGAAGGACCCACACTTTGTGTGTGTGGGTGTTTTTTAGAGACAGAGTCTTGCTATATTGCCTGGGCTGGTCTCGAGCTCCTGGGTTCAAGCAGTCCTCCTGCCTTTGCCTCTCAAGTAGCTGGGACTACAGGTACATGCTGGACGCACGCTTTGGATTCTGTCCCTGCTGGCCTAGTTCCTTGCCAAGAGCAAAACTTGAGAGCACCCTCACACAGGTAACAGACCTTGTCGGGAGACATTGCTTTTTTCCCAGACAGCTGAGCTCTTGGACTAAAGCGCAGAAAAGTTGGAGGACATGGGAATCCTTAGCCCACAGAAGAAACTCTCTTAATTTTCCATGTGAAATAAGGGTAGGGTATGTTAGGGTAGGGCATCTTGGTTATAAGATGCCTGAAGCAAGTGCCATGAGGATGGCTGCCAGCTGAGTCATCTCCCTCAAAGAGCTTTCCTGGAACCTGTCTCCCTGGTGATGTCAGCTCCAGTGCCTCCATTGCTGGCTCTAGCTGCAGGGGTGGTAGAAGACGCAGTATTTTAGCTAGGTCTGGCCAGAGGCCTTTGGGATAGCAGGTCAATGGGTGAAGGAAGTTATATAGGCAAATGAGAGTAATTATCTCTGATCGTGATTTTTATAGGAAATAGGCATAGATTAAGGCATAAATTTGAAAAGGCATAGATACATTAAGTAATTAATTAATTAGAGATGAGGTTTCACTTTGTTGCCCAGTTTGGAGTGCAGTGGCATGATCACAGCTCACTGCAGCCTTGACCTCCCAGGCTCAAGTGATTTCCCCCACCTTAGCCTCCTAAGGAGCTGGGACCACAGGCAGGCGCCACCATTCCCAGCTAATTTAGAATTTTTTTTGTAGAAACGGGGTCTCATTATAGTGCACAGGCTCCTCTTGAGCACTTGGGCTCAAGGGATCCTCCTGCTTTGGCCTCCCAAAGCACTGATTTGCAGGTATGGGCTGCTGCTCCTAACCAGGCATAGATAAATTTAAAGACACCTTTTACTGTAGAAGATTTGGAAAATAGAGAAAACCAAAAAGAAAAGAAAAAAAAAAATCTCTTAGTCCTACCACTTGAGATGTGAACTTCCAGCTTTCCCGGCTGCATTGTGTCCTGCCTTTTTTTTAAAAAATACAATACTATGGATGAGTGTATGTTCCCCATTCCCGCATTTATATTTTATTGTGGTAGAATACATATAACATAAAATTTAGCATCTTAATTGTTTTTTAAGAGTGCAGTATAAATATGCCCTCTTATAAATTCTTTGTTTTTCCCTTCTTGTGTGGCTTTGTTTTCTGTGTGGTAGCTTACTTCCGTGGTTTACTTAACCACTTTAAGTGTTGAACACACAGACAGGCTTGAATCATTTCATTTAAAAAGGTGTGGACAAGACTTTGTACTAAGGGTGACACCTGGCCTGAGCCAGCAGATGCGATTGTTCTTACATTGGCCACTTTGCTCTGAGAAATTTTATTGCTTAATCAAGTTGACCTTCAGTGATCAAAAAAGTAGATGTGCTGCCAGGTCTTTGAGTAGCTTATGAAACTCTTTTTCCTTCTCTTCCCTGGTACTTACTTGTTAGCTGTAACATTACTGTAGCTGCCTTTGGATATATGCAGATTAACCATCAGTTAATCCCAGTAAAAATGGATAAATTATGACAGCATGGTGACTGTCAGACTTACGAATACCAAAGCATTCCCATTCCTTTCCCTCCACCCCCATCCCTTCAAGACTTACTGCCAGGGACCTTTGGTTTAGCTTTCCTTATCACCAGGACTCCGAGTTTTTTCAGCTCCTTGTTCCTTCTGTGCAGTAGCTGAAGGTTGCAGGTGCCCCACCCTCCTGCTGTGGTTTGTTTCTCTAGTGAGGAGTTCACCAGCCCAGCGACTGAACGCCAAGGCTGCTAGTGCAGGACATGGTTAGCCCAGGAGGAGCACAGCCCTGGACACGAGGCCTTTGGTCTCACTTCTCCCACCTCCCTGCTGCAGTGTGCAGTGTGGCCACAAGCTCTTCCTTGGAATTGCTTACTGTGTCTTAGTTCCTTTGTGCATTTTTAAATTTTTTATATTTTGGAGGCAGAGTTCTGCCCTGTCTAGAGTACAGTTGCGTGAACACAGCTCACTACAACCTCTGTCTCCTGTGTTAAACTGATTGTCCCTTCTCAGCCTCCCAAGTAGCTGGGATTACAGGAACCCACCACCACGCCTGGCTAATTTTTCTATTTCTGGTAGAGATGGGCTTTCACCATGTTGGCCATGCTGGTCTTGAACTCCTGACCTCAGGTGATCTGCCCACCTCAGCCTCCCAAAGTGCTTGGATTACAGGCGTTGAGTCCCTGTGCCTAGACCCCCTTATGAATTTTTTTAAAAGGCAAAATTCTGTATTTACTGTAATGTTTATGTAGTAAAAATTGTTTATTTAAAAAAATTAATATTGCTGTTGTTTCATTAATGCTTGGTTACTGCATAGGTTCTCAGTGGCCTGCCCCAGCTTCCCTATTCCCATGAGACATTTTATTGTGTGCTTTTGTAGAGTTTGAGAGTTTTTAGGAACTCAAAAATTGCATTATAGCAAAAATACCTGGAAGGTTTTCCTGATGTTAAGATTCTTTTTAATTCCCTTTTAAATACAAATAACAATTATCATTATAGATGGTTAAGTACAGATAACCCAAACAAACAAAAACCACTCCAAAGTCTTACCACTGAGATTCTAGGTTAAACACTATTGTATAGACATGTGATTCTCAAACATGGTTGGGAGAAGGCTGCGAGGGAGGTGAGATTGTCCTGAAGAGGACTTTTGGGGATGCACTGTTTTGTCACAATTGTGGGGGTGGGGAGCCGGGGCTAAGTGTCACTGACACCTAGTGGGTTGAGTTCAGAGAAGCCGCTCAGGGTCCTCAGAGACATCCTGCAGTGTTGTGCGGCAGCCCCACAACAAAGCTGTTTGGCTTAGAATATCAGTAGTGCTGAGGCTGAGAAACCCTGTACACACAAATGGGTATGGGCCATTTTTCTGTGAATATTGTGACATATACTGTAGTTTTCCAAAAAATTTGGATTGTTTATACAGACTAGTTTATGAGCTGCTTTTAAAACTTACTACTTTATGAATGTCGTTCTGGGTCCATGACTATGCATTCTCCTCACCCTTTTCAAAATTGGCCTGTGACATTCCATCGCGTGAGTGTATTGGAGCTTACTTCACCAGCCCCGTCTGGAGGCTGGGCGCTGCCCACGTTTTGCTATTGGAACCACGTTTGTTTGTATTTTGCCTTCTGCGTGCTGGTTGACTATGACCTGACCGTATTGGGGCACCAGCTCTACATCTGAGGTGTCTTTCATGGGTAATAATGTTCCCTTCCTGCTAGAGCCCCCCACCCCCCACCTGCCATCCATGGCAGTCCCCAATCTTTAGTTTCCTCATAGCTGAACACAACCTAAGCTTAATGAAGCACTGTTGAAATAGTGAATAGGTAAGTAACACAGGATTTCTGTCATATTTCATTTTTAGGTAGAGCTTTCACTTTTTGCTTCATTTTACTTTATGGGTTTCTTAAAAAATTTTTTTTTATCTTCTGATAGGTTACATGGGACTTTAACTTCTTGCCAAGTTGGCTTTGCTCCATGCCTGGGCTTCCTGAGTTCCTGGGGAGGCGGGAATGGGTCAGATGGAGAATGCCTCGCTCTGACTGTGCTGTGGGTAGCACCTGTTAGTCGTCATGGTGGGGAACCCGTCCTTCCCCTCAGAGCTGCTCTGAGGCTGCAGGTGAGGTGCAACTCAGGAGAGGAAGTGCATGACAGCTGTTTGGGCCCGTGTTCCCTTTTGGGGTGCAGGCAGGGCAGCATGCAGAGCTGGCAGGCTGGGCCGGGGCCTGACACAGTGCTGTGCGGAGCTCACTCGGACCTGGCATTTGGACTCTTTCCACATGGGGACCTCCAAGAGCTTGTTTGTGTGGTGGTGACTATTTTTGTGTTTTGTGTGGTGCTCTGTGAGGAAGTCTGTTGTGTACGCACATCCCAGCTGCTTTGAATGGTCTGTCTCTGGGGGCTTCCAGGTAGGGAACTGTGTACAGGGAATCCAGGATTTGGGCAGCATTGGAACAGCAGGATGTGAGTAACAGGAAGTGACAGAAATGACCCAGGGCGCCAGATGCTTATTCTCGGCCACCTTTCCAAGCACCGCAGCCCGGGAACTATATTTAGCAGTATTTCCAGTGCCTTATCCTGCCCCCAGCACCATCCCTTTGCTCCTCTCTTGGTTGGTGGCTGATTGCACAGTGCTGATTTGCGACTCCGGCGTCTCTGGTCTACTTCATGATCTGTAGGCTCTTGTCCACTGAGTTTAAAACTCAGTTTTTGTTTTTGCTGGGTCACTTCCATTTTTGATACTCGTGGAGCACTTGGAAACTGTCCTGAGTGGGAAGGGCAGCAGGTAAGAGTCCCGGGGGACAGTGTGCCGTCAGACTAGGAGGCTGTCGGGTGGTAAATTCGGGTCAGGGTTGGAAATTAAGTGGAAGGAATTGAGTGTCATTGTAAGATGCTCCAGAGGGTTGCTTCTTGGCTTGGCTTAGAAGTGGAGGGCTGGAATTTTTATTTTTTTTTATTTTATTTTTTTTTTATTTTTATTTATTTTTATTTTTATTTTTATTTTTTTTGAGACGGAGTTTCACTCTTGTTACCCAGGCTGGAGTGCAATGGCACGATCTCGGCTCACCGCAACCTCCGTCTCCTGGGTTCAGGCAATTCTCCTGCCTCAACCTCCTGAGTAGCTGGGATTATAGTTGCGCGCCACCATGCGGCTGGGATTTTTTAAGATACAGGCTTGGTGGTGTGACTTCACTCAAGTGCTGGAAACATTCTGTGGTTCTCACCTGGCCAGACAGAAAGCCTACATGTGGAAGAAGCTTCTCTGTGGTGAATTCCTATTGTCTGAGCTTTGTCTCAGGGGAAAGATTTCCCTCTAGTCTCCCAAAACAAGCACTACAGAGCCCAGATGTGTTCTGCTTTGGGTGGGTGAATTTTCACCTTGCATGTCTGTCCATCCCTCACAGTGTAGAACTTGTCTCAGTGTGCTTTGAGGTTTCTAGGGTGTGGTGTTGGTTTGTGGTTTGTGGAGGGGTGTGTGTTGGGAGGGAGGGTGTTTTTGTTGGTCTCCTCTAAAAGCTCCCTTCTGAGAGGCTCCTCCAGGACCTCCCTTTCTTCCCTTCATGAAGCATCCACCTTGTTTTCAGACACTCAGGCTGTTTAGGATTCAGGAATTGACTCTGGGATGAGACATTTGAGAGACAAATTAAGAACAGTTATGTTTGCCATGAGATGTATGACGGTCAGTAGGGGTCTGGCCAGGGTGTGTAAAAGCCCTGGGAGCTCTGCCCAGAGGGGTTGGAGATGATAAGGGGGGAAATGCCAAGCTCAGGCACTCAGGAGATTCCCCTCCCCCAGTTCTATCAGCAGAGTCTGGCTACTGGCATGGTTTCAGGCTGACCTGTTAACCTTCTGTATGGCCAAACTACAAGTGCGGGGCACGGCTAGAATGTGTGTGTCTCTAGTTCTGGCTTGGGCATGTTAGCATATTTTGTGCCAAAAACATTTAAAACATTCAAAGAGGAACACAATGAACACAACTACTTCCAGCTCGAGAAATAAACATAATAGATACAATGGAGGCACTTGGAATTCTCTTTCCTATCCTTGTTTCTTCCTGCCCCCCCCCCCCCCAGGGGTCACCTCCATTCTAACTTTGGTGTTTATCATTTGTTTGCATTTTTGTGTGCTTTTTTGACATGTATGTGTAGGCATAAACAATATATAGCATTGTTGAACTGGTTCTAAAATGTTGAATAAATATTATCAGGCTGGGCATCCACGGCATTGCTCTTCCTGGATTTATCCCTGTAGATACATCTAGCTTTAGTTAAATGGTACGAGGTTTAAAACAACTGATTCCTGATTCCAGGAGTTAAATCAGAATTTCTGGGGAATGAGGCATGAACCTCAGCACCCCTGACAGGCATGGCCCAAGTTGAGGCCCATGATGCTGGTTTTTGTGGCCTCTGTACTGTTCTGGGATCTAAGACATCCTATTGTGGACGTACATTTTCCCAGATCCCTGTGATCAACAGTGCTGCTGTGAATGTGCTTATCCTTATCTTCCTGGGCACATAGACAAGAGTTTCTCTAGAATGTGTTTCTAAGGATAGAATTGCCAGGTGTGTGCATCTTCTTAACTGGCAATTGTCAGATTACCTCCAGAACTATCACCAGCAGTGGTCACGTATGAGTGATCTCATTTCTATAGTGTCTTTAAGTTTTTTTTTTTTTTTTTTTATTGTACCAAACTGATGGCAAGATGAAGACCCCATGCATGAGATAAGACATGTTGAGACTTTAATGGACACTGTGCCCTCAGCATGTCCACATGGACCTACCGGCTCCCCCGCCACCCCAGCTGTAAAGCTTGCTTCTCCCACAGCATCCCCTTCCTGGGATGGGAGCAGCACCCTGCCAGCTGCTCGAAGGTCACTGTGGACTTCTCTCTGTCTCACCCTGTCCCGTCTGTTGTCTTCAGAGCACACCCAGAGCCCAGCCACTCTCCTCACCATCATCTCATGATGGGGTTACTGAGGAGCCTCCCAAAAGGTTTCCTGAGTTCTTTCCTGCATCTTATTGTCAGCTTTCGATAAAGCAACCAGAATGATGCTTTCCAAACTTAAGTTTGCATGGCTTCTTATTTTACATGGAGTAAAAACTAAAGTTCTTACAGATACCTGCATGGCCCTCTGTGGCCCTGATGCTTCTAGGTTGGCCCCTGGCCCCCGTCCTGACACCAGCCCCAGCCACACACCACCAGCCACGCGCCAAGTGCCTGCTTCGGCTCAGCCCTTCCCTGCCTCCTTCCTTGCTTCCTCCTGGTCTCTGCCTCCTTCCTCGCCTTCCCCCTATCTTTGCTATGGAGTCCCCTGGCCCCCAGACCTGTCTTTTCTGGTCTCTTGTTTTTCCATAGTGCTCGCCATCAGCTGTTACTCTCTATGCTATGTAATTCACTTCTTTAATAAGTATTTACTGCCTGCGTTCAAATGTAACCTCCACAGAAGCAGGGATCTTTTCTGTTTGCTCAAGTGAAAGACTGCCTGTATTTATTTCTGCGGAAGAAAGAAAGAATTTGGAGCCCAGTGATGAAGATAGCACAGGAGAGGAGGTGAAGTTGAGGGAGTAGTTTCTGAGTTGGGAGGTTGGGGGAATGGGGCAGAGTCACCGGCCTCTGGGACGCAGTGGCAGGAGGACCTCAAGGCCCCTAAGTGTGTAGTAGGACCCTGAGAGCTGTGGCCAGTGGGCTCTGGGGCTGCGGAGGCAGCTCCTTTTGGGGCCTTGCCTTGGCAGCATCTTGGCCACTCCCAGAGCATACACTAGTATTGCAGCAGTGGGTGCTCGGCTGGCCCGCCCCACCCAGGAAGTGCATTACTATTGGAGGGCAGGAGCCTGTGATTCTGACATCCTCCCTTCACGGCTGAGCTCCTCAGGTTACATAGCTCCACTGATTCTTCAAGCACTGTTGTGTTTAGAAATGAGCCCTGCCGTTTCTGGGGCCTTGCCTCATGCAGGCTCAAGTACCCAGGCCATGTGTCACAGCTGATAGCAAAATAAGCCCCTCAGCTGGAGGGCACGGTTTATGACACTCCTGTGTGTGCCTAAACTCGGGTGCGGGGACAGGCAGGGAGGCTGGCGTTTCTCCCCAGCCCTTCTGACATAGAGGACCTGGTCCTTTTGTTTGAAAATGTGTACCAAAGGTGTGTCAGCTGTGTCCATGTAATATTTTCTTGGCGTCAGATGTTTCATGGTTTTCACTAACTACAAATACAGGACTTTAGATAAGATTACACTTTTAACTTGTGCTGCCCACGTACACCCTTGTCCTTAAGAAACAGCATTGCTCTGGAGTTACGCCTTGGTTTTCCAAGTTAAAACTTAAATATTGTTCGTGGTGGTTGCTTATTTTTAATTAAAGCTTTTACTTTGAGATTCTTTGTACCTTTTACCCAGTTTCCTGCAGTGTTAACCTCTTGCACAACCCCAGTACAGTGTCACACCCAGGATACTAACCTCGTTACAGTGGAGATCGGTAGCCTCCATGCCAGAGGGACCCTCCTTGTGCCCTTTTATGGCTTCCCACATGTCCCTCTGTAACCCCTGGCCACCACTCATCTGTTCTCCATTTCTATAATTTGGTCTTTTCAAGACATTATATAAACGGAATTTTACAGTATGTAACCTTTGGAGTTAGAGTTTTCACTCAGCATAATTCCCTGGAGCCTCATTCAGGTTGATGAGTATATCAGTCATTGTTCTTTTTTATTACTGAGTAGTATTCCACAGGTGTGCCACAGTTTGTTACTGAGTAGCGTTCCACAGGTGCGTTACGGTTCGTTACTGAGTAGTGTTCCACGGGTGCGCCACAGTTTGTTAATCATTCTCCCACTGAAGGGCTTCTGAATAGTTTCTGGCTTTTGATGATCATGAATAAAGCTACTGTAAACGCTCCTGGGTAGGTTTCTGTGCAAACATAAATCTTCATTTCTCTGGGATAGATGCTGAAGGGTGTGATTGCTGGGTCACATGCTAGTCGCATACTTGGTTTTTTAAGAAACTGTCAAACTGTTTTGCAGAGTGGCCGTAACATTTTATATCCCACCCAATATAAGATCCTCTTTCTCCATATTCTCTCCAGCAGGTGGTGTTGGCACTCGTTTCTGTTGTAGCTATCGTGATAGTTGTGTGGGGTTCTCTCGTGCGTTCAGTGTGTTTCCCTGATGGCTGAGGATTTTGAGTATTTTCCGTGTGCTTAATTGCCACTTGCATATCTCCTCTTGCACTGTGAGGGATGAGGCACTGTGAGGGGTGAGAACTCATTTCCAGGTGGCGGGAGAAATATCCTGGCTCTCTGCTTGGCCTTCTCTGGATACTCTGAGTGCTGCAGCGCCTGGCTGCAGCCTGGGAGTCGGGTGGGCATGGTTTCTTCTTGCAGCGCTGGCTAGAGTAAGGTGGGTGTTATTGCCATTGTCAATTTCTGTCTTGTCTGACTGCCCACTTCTTGGCTCCTTGGCCTGGAGGGGCAGGCTTTTGTTGGGGCTTTTCACCTACCCCCCCAGTATCCATCACTGTTTTTGGCTTCTGCTTCTTTAGCTCCAAGTCTAGGGTATACCAGGTTAAAAAAAAACTCAGAGGGCCACCACTGTGTCGTCCCTTGGGCCAAGACCCTCGTCAGACTGCCACCTTCTCTCTACCTTTCAGGTTCTTCTTGTGTTGATTTTCTAATGCTCACAGTTTTCAGTTCTCAGCGAGAGGAGTGGGGAAAGGACCTCCGTGTCATCTGAACTTGGATCTGTGAAGAGGGAGTCCATGCGAAATGTTGTGCTCCACCCATCCCTGCTCGCTCATCGTGACCATTGGACCATTGTGGGCTCCAGGCCTCACATTAATTACTTGTAGGTCTTTTGGGTTGGCCTGTGGTTCCAACATGACACAGTTTGTAGGACCTTGATCTTTTTGTCATTTTACGTGTCATTTATGAATGAGATCCACGTCCAGGTCCCTGCATGTCCAAATTCGTGGTTATAAATGGTTGGACAGGATGTGGCCATTTGGGTGCTGTGATTCAGCCTGATGTGACTCAGTCAACTGCCCTTGTCATTATCCTCCAGATCTTATTTCTCCACCTTCTATTTTGAACTCTTGGGAAACCTGGTCAGAGTGGGAGGGGCAGCTAGTCAGATGACTTAATGAGATGTTAATATCATCCTTGTGCTGATCCTCCAAGCCAGTCACCCTGCCAAAAAGGAAATGCAATGTGCCAGACACCGCTAGTACTGAGTGAACTTGGGAGAGCTTGTGGTGAGAGCCAGTTGCTTCCCTGCCTCGTGCCCACTGGCCCTGGTCTGAGACACCAACCAGATGAGGAGAGACTGAAGGATGGAGGTCCGGGGCTCAGCCTGGAGCCAGCCTGCCTGGTGTCCTGGCCGTATCAGCTCATTTGCTGTGGGACTGTGAGCAGGCCCCTTAGCAGAGTTCATTAGGTTATGGAGAAGCTGAATGGAGCAGTTACCTGGAAAAGACGTGGTGGATTGCTGAGACATTCTTTGTGCCCTGTCCATGTTAGCTAAAGCTACCTCTTGTTATATCAGCTGCTGTGTGCACATAAGCCAGAGTCCACCTTCTTTTCCATTTGAGAAATCATGCCTGTCTGTCTCCAGTATGTCTCCTTTTTCACCATGATTTCTCAGCGATCACTCCTGTGGTTTAAAAACCCCCAGGGCTAATTCTTCCCAGTACATGGGAGGACATTTTGTCTGGCTTGGCAAATCATTTGGAGTAGAAAGGTATTTTCTCATATCTCTTGGAAGATCATGTACTTGAATCAAGAATAGAAACAAAAGTTCTTCTTTCAAATAGAATTTTAAAGCTTGTTTCTTTGTCCTTAACATTGTAAACCTAAGACTTTAGTAGACGTTGTAACATTGTAAACCTAAGACTGTTTTAGTAGCTCATTTTTGGATTGGCTACACATGCAGGTGGTACAGAAATGTTAAGACTAAAAAGGTATGAAGTGTTGCCCAGCCATTCAGAGGTCCCCTCAGTTAGAGGTGACTAATATTAGTTTTTTCTCTGTACCCAGACTCTTCTTCCTGCAATTGGCTTTTATCTATAAACAGTGTGTCTTAGAGGTTGTTTCATATAAGCACATGTGGAATAACTTCAGGCGTTTTAGTGGCTGCAACGTTTTCTGTCATATGAATGTACTGTCATTACTGTAGCCAGTCTCTACCAGCCTTATATTGATCAATATTTGTTTGGTTTCAAATCTTTTGTCTTTTAGTGAATGCAGCCATGACTAACCTTGTATATACAGTATGTGATTTCTCATGAAGATACAGGAGAGGATAAATTTATACAAGCACAGTTGATGAGACACAGGTGTATATTTTAAAGTTCGACGAATTTTACCAAATGGTTTCCATACAGGTTGTATTAAATTTTGCTCCAATGTATGAGAATCAGTAGACCATATTATCAAACATTTGATCTCTATGAAATGAAAAATGAGATCTCCTAATTTGCATTTGTCTTATGAGTAAGACTGAATATTTTTTCATACGTTGAAGATCCATCTCTAACACAGTTTTAACATAGCTCTGCTGGACTCTCATATTCATGCATGTGTTTCACCTTTCTCTTCCTATCTCTTGTATAGTTATTTTCTAACCAGATTTTTGTCCAAGAGTCTGGGCAGCTCTGCACACCTTTCTTTTGAGTTATGTGGTTATACGTTTTTGAGAAATCTCAAGTTCTGTATCCTCTTTTACTGAGGTGCAGCATGCACATGGAGGAATGTACTTGTTAACAGGCATACAGCTTGGTGACTGTTCCCAACCATGGAGAACATTGTAGTCCCCAGAAACCCTGCTGTGTGCCCCTCCCGTCAAAACAGCTGCTAGGAGAAGCTAGCATCTAACACCATAGATTAGTTATGTCTGTTTTTTTAACTTTATGTAATGCATAAGGAAATTATGTAGTATATGTTGTCCTGAGTCAGGCTTATTTCTTTCGCAATTGTAAGATTCATCACATTATTGCATGTCTCCCAAGGTATTAATATACTATAGTTTATTCACTGTAGGCCTATTTAGAGAAGTGATGCTATGAACATTCTTGTGTATGCCTTGATGAGGAAGATTCGTGTTTGCGTTTCTGTGAGGTGGGTGGGTGGACTTGCTGGGTCACAGGGTATATATGAGTTCAGCTGTTTTCGGAAGTAGTTGCACCAAATTGCACTGTCACCAGCACTTAATATTGTCTGTTTCGGCTCAGCCATTGTGAGAGGTGCATCACCCTGTGGCTTTAATTTCAGTTTCCCTGATGACTAATCAAATTGAGCACTGGGTCATGTGCTTTATCGGCCATTTGTGAAATAACTGTTCAAGACCTTTGTCCATTCTACTATTAGTCTGTCTTCTCTTTGCTTATTGATTTGTAAGTTCTGTTACCTTCAAGAGATTTCCGGTGTCTGAAAATTCAAATCTGTCTATGGCTGTTCTAGCCCGCCTCAGGATTCTGTGAGGAACACAGCCACCATTTTATCCACTCTTCCTCTGTGATACTGTGTTTCTGTCTCTAGTCTTTCCAGCGTCAAGATCTGAGGATTTTTTTTTTCTCCAATGTGTAGGTTCCCATGCAGCCACCTGTCTTCTTGCTCTCTGATGCAGCTCTGCTCCTTTCCTTGGTGGCATGTCCTGCAGCCTGGCCTTTCGAGTCCCTGGGATGTCATTGATTTGTCCTGTCAAGTTCAGTTTATTGCCCTACTTTTTTTTCTTTTTTTGAGACAGGGTCTCACTCTGTCATCCAAGCTGGAGTATAGTGGGTGTGATCTTGGCTCACTACAACCTCCGCCTCCCAGGTTCAAGTGATCCTCCTACCTCAGCCTCCCAAGTAGCTGAGATTACAGGTGTGTGCCACCACGCCCAGCTAATTTTTGTATTTTTAGTTAGAGATGGGGTTTCACCATGTTGACCAGTGGTCTGAAACTCCTGAGCTCAACTGATCTACCTGCCTCGCCCCACAAAGTGCAGGGTTTACAGATGTGAGTCACTGCGCCTAGCCTTATTGCCCTATTTCTGATTTGCAACTATCTTTTAAGCTGATTTAGGGATGTGAACTATTTCTTACTTTATATATTTGCTTGAAAAATATGAGCCATCTCTTAGTCTCCAAAGTCTTTTCTTTGTGAAGGCTGGATTTTGAAGATAGCTTCAGCTTTTTTGCGCCATTCCTTGGTTGCCAGTAGTTATGGCTGCAGTCCAGATCATAGGGATGCTCTTAGTATTCCTTAGAGCATCTCCCTGCACCTGCCACCTGCCCTGGTAGGCAGGATGCACAGCCAGGAAGGCATAGCCCGAGGGCCTGTATCCAGCCCCCAGTTTCTCTCCTGGGTCCTTCCTGCCCACGCCGTCTCCCAAATCAAGGGATTGAATAGGAGGTACTTCTCAGAACATCCCCTAGAATGAGCCTCCCAAAGAGTCTCACTCTCCCCTACCAGGAGTTGGACTGTGGCTGGTGTTAGAGGAGCAGGAAGATGAGGCAGGCTCTTGTCTGAGGGGTGCCTCCTTCCCTGCTGGCTGGTGTGGGGGCTGGAGCTCACCAGGAGGGGTATGCCGAGGAGCTGAAGGCATGGCATGGACATGTGAGTCATGACAAGTCTCCTGTGTGCAGCTAGGGACTGACATAGAGAAGGCAGGCCCAGTTGTGTCCCCTTTGTGGGCAGCTAAGAAACATGGATTCTGACTTATTTGGTGGGACTCTTCTGTGATATTTCTTGTGGTTTGGGAGGGTGGACCATTGACACCAGAGCAGTCTCAAGGAAGACACCCACACGAGAAAGTGGTCTTGGCAGTGTCAAATGATGATGTCAAAGCTGAGGGCTTTGGGCCTGAGGTAGCACTGATAGTGACAGTGCAAGGTGCTCTTCCAGGACAGTATGAGGTTGCACCAACTGGCACCTTACAACAGCAAGGCTAGGATGCAACACTGCTCTTCATAGCCCCAGTTTACAGATTGCCCAGGGTGGTGAAGCACCTGCTGTAAGTTATACAGCTGGCAAGGGCTTCAGACTCAGCGATGTGCCAGGCCCTCTACACATTTGGTCCTGGTCAGTTTCACCACAGCTCTGTAAGTTGCTTCTGTCATCACCTTTCTCAGTGAGAAGCAAAAGAGGGTCTGCCGCCATTTCCCAAATTTATCAGTGGCCAGATGGAATTCAGATCTGGGTCTGTCTCAGGCTTCTTCACAACAGAACAGACACAAATAAGAGTTTTGTTTTGTTTTGTTCCTTAGAAGCCAAAACCCAGATTCTTTGACATTTATCTGTTGCTCAGTGTTTATTGTCCACAGACAATAGCACAGATGAAGGCAAGGATGCCATTGATTACTTGTATCATTAACTCACTGTCTTTAAACCTAATGCTTTTGTCTGTAATTTGCTGCCTAGTAGTGCCCAATACCCACGAAGCAATTCTACTAGTAAACCGTCTCCTTCAGCCTGTGGGGCAGATGGGACCAAAGATCCATTTTCTTAAATGCCGTGGCTGAGTTCTGGAGCAAAGGTGGTGCCACGCTTCAGCTCATAAAAGCTGCTGTGGGAGTAGTAGACCCAGGACCTAAAACATTTCATAGTTGTCTTCTGTAAATATCCTGTTGCATGACTCCTAATAGAATCCCTGAATTATGCAAAGCAAGGTATCTTTCTCTCTTATTGTATTTATTATGCTGACAAAAGTATTCAAATATTAAAACTCACCCAGAGTGAACAATTAGGTACGTGTGCTCAGACTTGATAGGGAGACAGGGATGATGCCCATGACTGATGCACCTGCCCAGCCTTGGCAGCTCCCAGTCTCCCATGACCGTCCCCAAGTGGCTGTCCAGAGACCCCCCCGGTCCCACTCTCAGGGCCCACTTTGTTGTCTTCACAGCTGACTCAGTGTGGGAAATAGTTACCTGCCTGCCTCTCCCCACTGAGTTCTGTAAGGGGAGGAACTTTGCCCACCATGTGCTTAGAATCCCAGGACTTAGAAGAGACACCTACAAGCATCTGCTGAGCCAGGGAGTGTCCTCTGGAGGGAGAGGGGCTGTTCATGGCACTCTCCAATCTTGAACAACAGCAGGGCAGAAGGCAGACAGCCCCTCCAGGACTGCCTTTGCTGTCTCTCCTCCCTCAGTCTCTCCCAGCTCTGCTGCTTCTCACACCCAGCCTGGCCCCGGGTGTTCTTCTCCCACCAGCCCAGGATATGTGGAAGGATAAGCAAACCATGCGCCATCGACCCAATTTCATTTATCCGCTCTGCCATGAAACTTGGTCGCTGGAGAATCTCCCTGTAAAGCACAGTTTCTATGTTTTCTGAGCCAGAAACGTGGTTATTTAATAATTTTAATTAGGTATTCTTAAATTGGGTCTTCTTAATGTAAATTAAAGCTATGAGATGTGCCAAAATCTAAAAGTTAAATAACATATTCTGTTGGTGAATCCATGGGGAAGCAAGCATTTTCCTAACACTGTTGGTGAGAATGCAAAATGGTACAGCCCCTGTGGGGGTAATTTGGCAATAGCTAGCAAAATTACATGTACATTACAGGGTATGGATGTGCATTTGTTATTCTGCCAGGAAAGGTGGTCTGGCATTTTACTTGATAAAGCCTTGGAAATCCAATTTACTCTTTGTCAGAGTAGTTTTACTTCTAGGAATTTACCCCAAAGATACGCTGGTAAAAAGAGGAAAAGATCCTTGTAAAGATAATTCATGACATCATTATGAGAAATATCAATGAGTTTTAAATGCACAAAATTACCATCCATAGGACACTGGCTGAGTTCTATACAGCGGAGTACTGTGTCATTGAAGGAAAGAGTGAAGCAGCTCTGGATATTGCTAAGGAGTGATGGCTGGGATATGTAATTAAATGGAAAGGCAGAGTTGGAGAAAAGTGTCCATGCCACTGTTTACATAGGAGACAATATGATATACATGTTTGCATGTATCTTAAAAATGGAAGGAGAAACCATACCTTCTCTCTCTCTCTCTCTCTCTCTCTCTCTCTCTCCCTCCCTCCCTCCGCCTCTCTCTTTTTGGTAAAGCAACCTATGGGAACCGGGATAGAGGGGAGAGATATAAAAGCTAGATTTCTGAATCTACCTTGTTTGTAGATTTGACTTTGGAACTCCATTGATATGATCATTATAAAACAAAATTAAGTAAAAAAAGATTAAAACCCTTCAGAATTTTGATACACTATCAACTTTTTTCTCTAAAAAGTTTATGTCCTGTTTTCCTCTTCTCAGTGCTTGAGAAGTCTTTTCCCCCACACATTTGTCAGTACTGAATAGCCATCTTTTAAAATTTTGCCAATCCCATGGGTGAAAAATAGATTGCTGTTTTCATTTGCATCCTCTGATGACTAGAGTGATTAAGCAGCTTTTTACTTGCTTATTATCTATTTGGTATTTCTTCTGTGAGGATGTCCTAGCTAGAGCAATCAAACAAAAAAAAAAAAAAAAGAAAAGAAAGGACATCCAAATTGGAAAGGAAGAAGTAAAATTCTTGTTTGCAGATGATGTGATCTTATATTTGGAAAAGCCTAAAGACCCCCACCAAAAAAAAAAACACTGTTAAAACTGATAAATTCAGTAGAGTTGCAGGATTCAAAATAAATATGCAAAACTCAGTAGCATTTCTATATGTACCAACAGTGCACAATCTGAAAAAAGAAATCAAGAAAGTAATCCCATTTATAGTAGTTACAAATTAAAGTAAAATACCTAGGAATTAAGAAGTGAGAGATTTCTACAAGAAATAGAAGAGAACACACAAAAAATGGAAAGATACTGCATGTTCATGGACTGGAAGAATCAACATTGTGAAAATGTTTGTATTACCCAAAGCAATCTACAGATTCAGTGCAATTCCTATGAAAATACCAATGACACCCTTCACAGAAACGGAAAAAATAATTCTAAAATTTATATGGAACCAAAATAGCCACAAGACCCAGAATAGGCAAAATTATCCTTTTGAAAAACTAGAGGAATCACATTTTCTGACTTCAGATTATACTACAGAGCTATGCTAACCCAAACAGCATAGTACTGGCATGAAAACAGACACAGACCGATGGAACAGAATAGAGAACCTAGAAGTAAATTCATGCATCCACAGTGAACACATTTTCGACAAAGGTACCAGGAGCATATACTGAGGAAAGGACAGTCTCTTCACTAAATGGTGCTGGGAAAACTGGTTTTCCATATGCAAAAGAATGAAACTAGACTCCTGTCTCTTGCCATATACAAACATGAAATCAAAATGGATTAAAAACTTAAATCTAAGACCTCAAAGTATGAAACTACTAAAAGAAAACACTGGGGAAACATTGCAGGACGTTGGACAGGGCAAAGGTTTCTTGAGTAATTCCCACAAGCACAGGCAATGAAAGCAAAAGGCAGACAGATGATTAAAGTTCCTGCACAGCAAAGGAAACCACACGGTAAGGAGACAGCCTACAGAACGTGAGAAAATATTTGCACACTATTCCTCTGATGAGTGATTATAAATTGGGAGCTCAAATAATCCAAAAGGGAAAAATCTAATCATCCAATTAAAAAATAGGCAAAAGATCTGAATAAACATTTCTCAAAAAAAGACATACATATGGCAAGTAGATATACGAAAAAGTGCTCAATGTCATTGATCATCAGAGAAATGCAAATAAAGACTACAATGAGATACTGTCTTACCCCAGTTACAATGACTTTCATCCAAAAGACAGGCATTAGCAAATGCTGGTGAGGATGTGGAGAAAAGGGAACCCTCGTACACCATTGATGGGAGTGTAAATTAGTACAGCCACTATGGAGAACAGTTTGGAGGTTCCTCAAAAAACTAAAAATATAACTACCGTGTGGTCCAGAAATCCCACTGCTAGGTATGTACCAAAAAGAAGGGAAATCAGTATATCGAGGAGATGTCTGCACTCCCGTGTTTACTGCAGCACTGTTCACAATAGCCAAGATTTGGAAGCAGCCTAAGTGTCCATCAACAGACAAATGAATGTGGTACATGTACACAATGGAGTACTCTTCAGCCGTAAAAAATAATGAGATCCTGTCATTTGCAACAACAACAGATGGAACTGGAGGGCACTTATGTTAAGTGAAATAAGCCAAGCACAGAAAGACAGACTTCACACCCGCTCACTTACTTGTGGGAGCTGAAAAAAAAAAAAAAGAAAAGTTGAACTCACGGAGATAGGCAGTAGATGGATGGTTACGTGGGGCTAGGGGGATGGTTAATAGGTACAAAAGTATAGTTAGAATAGACCAGATGGAGTATTTGATAGCAGAACAGGGTGGCAACTGTTAATAATTTGCTGTTCATTTGAAAATAACTAAGAATATATTTGGATTGTTTGTAACACAGAGAAAGGATAAATGGTTGAGGCAATAGAGACCCCATTTACTCTGTGATTATTCTGTGCCTGTATGCCCCATAAATACATATACCTACCAAGTACCCACAAAAAAATTAAAAAAGAACGTTGATGTATTTCTTTTGTGAAATGCAAGTTCATAGCCTTTTTTATGTCAGGAAGTTTTTTCTACTGATTTACAAAAACTCCATATTATGGATATCATTTTCATTTGTTGATTATTACCAGGTCATAACTTTATGTCTTGTCAGGTGGTTCAGGTCCTGCCTAGTCTGAGATTGAGGTTTTCTCCAAGAACATTTATATGCGATGCATATTGATATGTGACACATGCTATGGTATTCTAGAGTTACAGTGGACTAGACTTCCCTAAACCGTTCAAATGCTGGACATCACACAGTTGCTACTTTTTAAAAAGTTTCCTAGGGCTGCTGGGTGCCGTGGCTCACGCCTGTAATCCCAGCACTTTGGGAGGCCGAGGCGGGTGGATCACAAGGGCAAGAGATCGAGACCATCCTGGTCAACATGGTGAAACGCCCGTCTCTACTAAAAATACAAAAAATTAGCTGGGTATGGTGGCGTGTGCCTGTAATCCCAGCTACTCAGGAGGCTGAGGCAGGAGAATTGCCTGAACCCAGGAGGCGGAGGTTGCAGTGAGCTGAGACCGCGCCATTGCACTCCAGCCTGGGTAACAAGAGTGAAACTCCGTCTCAAAAAAATAAAATAAAAAATAAAATTTCCTGCGGCTTACTGTGCCTAAGTAGTAAGCAGTTATATAAATGTCCAGTTAAGTTAATTGCTGATGAACATATAAAAACTAAATTTCACTGTCTTTTTAGTTTGAGATTGTTCTTAATTTTTAGTGATCCATGATAACTATTTTTGTTTTCTGCTTGGTGTGAATACGTGAATGAAATAGTAATTTATCATGTATATGTGAGGTAGGTTTTAAGAAAGTGTTCATAGCCATTGGCACTTGCCTTTTGTTCATGGTTCTGTTGACCATGTTTCTTTCTCTAGGTCATAACTCCATGTAGGAAGCTCATCCTGTGCGCCGATAACAGAAAAGAAATGGAAGATTGGATCGCAGCATTAAAGACTGTGCAGAACAGGGAGCACTTTGAGGTTAAAAAAGAAAAACCTTCTCCAAATGCCTCCTGTTGCCTCCCTCACCCCATGTCTGCTGTCTGAGTGTCCCCCACGTGCGGATCCACAGTCTGGAACTCGCATTCTCAGCATGTTCCTTGTACAATTAAAACTTGTTGCCTGTCCTCTGGGAAGACCTGTCCTTTATAAACCTTTCCCCTCTTCTCTCTTGGAGGCTCTCTTGGATACTTTGTTTAATCTTGTCCAAGTTACAATTTAAAAGAGAAGTCTTATCTTTGCCGTATTGGTTTCATTCTTCCAGCCCACCCAGTACAGCATGGACCATTTCTCAGGGATGCACAATTGGTACGCCTGTTCCCACGCGAGGCCGACCTACTGCAACGTGTGCCGTGAGGCTCTGTCTGGGGTCACGTCGCATGGGCTGTCCTGTGAGGGTATGGATGTGCATTTGTTGTTCCGTCAGGAAAGGTGGCCTGGCATTTTACTTGATAAAGCTTTGGAAATCCAAACCCAGTCACCGTAAAGAAGCCATTGCCACCCATGAGGTCCAAGGGCACAGTAGTTTCTATGATTCTATTCTTGTTTATTTTTCCTGCTGAAGAGTCCTTCATCAATCATTTTTTATAGTGCTCAAACAGAGTGAAAAGAAGGGGAGCGGTGGGTGGCAAAAGGAGAAACAGAGGAAGCCTAGAGCACACAGAGGGAAAGGCACTGCGGGAACAGCTGCCGGCCCCAGCGTTTCACACTCCGCAGTCGGGTGCATGGGGCCATGCGTATATGGACTGAAAGTGCATTACAGACCCAGAGGCCAGGACTGCAGAGTTTGGGCAAGGGCGTCCAGTCTGGTGGCAAGAGCAGTGGGCTGGAGCAGGCTCTTTAGCTGTAGCTTGGACCACACCCTGCCTCTGCCTGTTTTTGCACAGCTCTCACGCTTCAGACTGGCTTTTACATTTTTAAATGATTGGAAAACATCAAAAGAAGAATCCTATTTTGTGACACATGAAAATTACATGAAATTCAAATTTGTGTCCTTAAAAAAGTATTGTCTCTGGCTGCTTTTGTGCTACACGCAGAGTTGAGTAGTTGTGATGGAGGCTGGATGCCACCTGCAAGGCCTCCACTGCTCGCTCTCTGGCCTGTGACAGAAAGCTCACCGATCCCCAGCTCTCCCTGATGTATGGTCTCACATACGCCTCCGGTCCCACCGCCCCCAGCCTCTAAGCGTATCACAGTAGCTCAGTTATAAAATGAGAGTGCCGCTGGTACCTTCCTTGACTTTTCTGGAGCTGGGCAGTTCTCACAGCACTGCTCAGCATGGGAAGTTCCTGGCACAGACACAGCTTGTAGGCTCATGTGTCCCTTCTCTCTCAGTGTGCAAATTTAAGGCCCACAAGCGCTGTGCTGTACGTGCAACCAATAACTGCAAGTGGACCACGCTCGCCTCGATCGGGAAGGACATCATTGAGGATGCAGATGGGGTACGTTAAGAAATACCACCTGTGGGGCCCTGAGCCACGGCGGCCCACCTGCATTGTCCCTTGCAAGCCTCCTCCCCGCCTTCCCCAGCACTGTTTCATTGGAGACGGTCACACTGGTATTGGGTGTCACAGTGGAAAGTATATGCGGTCTCCGTGTGGTCGCTGCACCCCCGAGCTCCATCCTGTCCCTGTGAGTCTTGTTTGCACCTCTTACAGGTGCTGTGGGTAGATGGCCCTTCACAGGCCCTGCCATCCCTCCCCTCACCGGCGTCAGGGAAAGAGCTTGTGCTGGGAAGAATGCCGTGGCTGAGTTATAAAGAGCGTTTCCGTCTAAGGGCTCCTGGCTGCCCTTGACGTGGAGCCTTGGGAGCACCCCTAGTGCGTGCCTCTGTTTGGTCGCAGATCTCGATGCCTCACCAGTGGTTGGAAGGAAACCTGCCTGTGAGTGCCAAGTGCACCGTGTGCGACAAGACGTGTGGCAGTGTGCTGCGCCTGCAGGACTGGCGCTGCCTCTGGTGCAAGGCCATGGTGAGTGTGGGCCCTGCGCCGGGCTGGAGGGGAGGGCCTGCTCCCTACAGTGCCCATGCGGGCCTCGTGCCTCCACACGATCTGCTGGATCCTGGTAAATTCATCCCAGAGGCCCCTCCGGCTCTGAGAGTGGGTGTTTTGACCTGTTTGGTCATTTTCCTTCTTAGTTTTTTTTTTTGTGGGGGGTGTTTCTTCCTTTTGAATTTAGTCCTGCCTTTTCAACAGACGTAAGTGTGTGTCATTGGGACGGATGTACCCTGCATCATGTGGCCCTGTAGCTGGGTTGTGAGGAGTCTCCTGGGTGGCGTGGAAGCAGGAAAGCTGGAGAGGCCCTTCAGAGCAGTGTTGGCTCTGGGTGGTGTTTACATTGAGCATAGCCATGTGGAAGTGTCATAGCCCATGTGGCCTCCTGCTGGATTCTGGGTCTCATCATTGCCCTGGGTGGTGAGATGTGCTTCCAGGGAGAGATACACGGAGCCTCCATGTACTCGCCTCTGGGATGGTCATTTTGAAGTGGCTGCTGCAGTCACTTGCCTAGCACATCTGGCCACCAGGAGGAAGCCAAGACACAGGGGATGTGTAGAGACACATTGCTCCAGGAGCCCTCACCCTCGTCTTGAAAGTTGGAGGTAGCTGTGGTGGGATGGCCCGAGGCTCGGGTGCAGGACTGTTGCTCACAAGGTGTGCACCATGACTGGCTTCTGCCTGGTGTTTCCGTGCTATGCCTTCTCGAGTGCAAAGCCAGGGCATGGGGCCTGTGATGGGAGCAGGCCAGCCCAGCTCTGAAATCACCCGCCTCTGCCATAGCCGGCTTATCAACTACAGGGCAGGAGGATTTCTGGTGTGTGTACAGGATGCCAGTGACCCTTGGTGATGCGGAGACTCTTGTTTCAGGTTCACACATCGTGTAAAGAATCCTTGCTGACCAAGTGCCCACTTGGCCTGTGCAAAGTGTCAGTTATCCCACCCACGGCTCTCAACAGCATCGACTCCGACGGTGGGTACCACACATGCTCGTCCTTCTCATGCACTTCCACACGCTTCCTTCTCCACAGGCTTTCTCCTCTCCAGCTCTAGACTTGGTTATCTTGGTGAGATGTCAGAATGAGGTCAGGCACAACCAGGGGGGGCGCTGGAGGAGTTGCACAGAGTGGCACACGGTGCCCTGATTCTACGGCATTGCCATTAGATGGGCCTGAGACCGGAGCCTGGCGCTTGACGTGGATGTGATGCTGTTGAGTGGAACTCATTTGGTACAGTAACATGTCGTACAGGGTTGTAGCCTGGGAGCAGCAGGGTACACCACCGAGGTTCGTGTAAGTGCAGATACTCTACGTGGTGTTTGCGCGGCAATGCAGCCACCTCACAAGGCCTCTTCTCGAGACATATTCCTATTTTTAAGTGACCGTAATTGTAAGTTACAAGCTTAAAGGAAAGTCCCTTTCCAGCTCCCAGAAGGTCCTGGGCTTAGGGTCTTTGATGGCCCATTACACCAGCAGACTGTAGAATCCAGATTCTGGCTATTTCTGTGTCCAGAGAACATGATAAATTGTCTCTAGAGTCAAACCTGAATCTAGTACGTGCTTGCCATGTGAACCTGAGCAAATCCTCAAACCCTGCCAAGCCCCAGGTTCCCCACTTATAAAGTGGGCCTCAAATTTACAGAATGGGGGTGCGGGGATCATTAAATGGAACTTGGCATAAAGGAAGTTCCTCAAGTTTATGGAACAGGGGTGTGGGGATCATTAAATGGGGCTTGGTATAAAGGAAGTGCCTCAAGTTTACAGAATAGGGGTGTGGGGACCATTGGCACATGGTGCCCTGATTCTATGGCATTGCCATTAGATGGGCCTGAGACCCGAGCATGGCGCTTGACATGGAGGTGATGCTGTTGAGTGGAACCCAGGTCTGGGGGCTTCTCCATATGAGCCATTGAAGCTATGTTCCATCTCTGCCCAGCACACACTGGCACACTGGCTTGCAGCTGCTCTCGTGTCTGGCTGGGACATGGTGCCACCTGTTGACAAGTACTGGTGGAAGAGGGGATGTGGGGTACATGGCTCAGAGCAGATCAAGAGAAGAAGACAGCAGCAAGGTGGCACTTGGACACCTTGTGAATGTGAGATTGATGGATGGGGCTCCCGGCTCACACGTGGGGAACAGCTGTGGGGAACTGTTTGCTGACCTCTTGCTGACTTAGGTGTGCTTGTGTCAGGTGTACGTCTTTTGCGGGGTCTGCTGCTGCTGATTCCATCAGTGGTGCCCCAGTGCCTCCCGGGGCCTGTAGATTTTCTTCTGTCCTGTTCGTTCTTGCATCCAGGGTTCTGGAAGGCCAGCTGTCCTCCGTCTTGCACAAGCCCACTACTGGTCTTCGTCAATTCAAAAAGTGGGGACAACCAAGGTGTGAAGTTCCTCAGAAGATTCAAACAGCTGCTGAACCCTGCCCAGGTCTTTGACCTCATGAACGGAGGCCCACACCTCGGGTAGGAAGCTTGTAAAATATATCTTTCTTGGAGTTTTAAAAATTGTGTAAATGGTGTGTGCTTGTTAAAAAAAAGATCAAAGACACAAAGTTTTAGATAGGAAAGAAAAGTTGAACTGCTTCCTCCCCAAACTGCACTTGCAGAGGTGCCCACTCTTAATAGAGGTGCATGGCCTTCCAACTTTGAACACAGCGTGTGTGTGCACACACCCATGCACGTGCATCTTTTGAGCCAGTCAGGATTCTTCTTTACCTGCTGTTGTGCAAATGCCTTCTGCATGTGTCTGCTTACGACGTTGTAAGTGTATTTTCTTCTTTTAAAATTTTCTATCTACCTACCTACCTATGGGTGTATTTTTCTGGCATGCCTCATTCTAACAGCTGCCTGGTGTTGAGGAAAAAGCTGCCCTCCAGCGAGGCCAGGAGGGAGTGTTTGCATGTTGAGGGGCATAGGAGGCTGCTCGGCATGCAGGTGCCGTAAAGCAGGAACATGCATGGGTGTTGTTGGGGCAGAGTGATTCCGCTGTCCTCGGCAGCACGGGTTTAGACGGTTCCTCTGCTTGCTGGAGAGCCAGTGTGTGTTCTTTGTAGTTTTGTACTTTTCATAAGTTTGCTTCCATAAATGTTGCCATTTGAACGCATTCCTTCTTCCTTTGGAGGCATCAGTTCCAGGCTGGAGCTCTAAGAGGGCTTGCTGGCACTTCCGGGAGATTGTCCAGGACACTCCTAGTGGGAAGTGCCTGCAGAACCTGTGATTTGGCCTGTATTTTTCTGGGAGAGTCGGTGGGGAGCTGTGTATTTAAGAGTCGGGATGCTCTGATATGAACCGTGGCCAGCTCCTGGGTTTCCTTGGTGTATGCGTGAGGGTAGGAGAAACAAGCTGCTCATCGCTGGTTCTCTGGGTGTCTTCTGTGTTGCTGGTCCCCACTCAGAACCACGCACCGTTGGAGAGCAGTCACAGATGGCAGCACTCCAGCCTGCTTCCACAAAGGCCGCACTCCCATGTTTTCTGCAGAGAGACTTCTTATCTGAGTGGTGGGGGATTGCATTCACTAGTAGGCTGATGAAGAAATTATTTTAATTTTAATTTTATTATTTTTTGAGACAGGGTCTTTCTGGTTGCCCAGGTTGAGTGTGCTGGTGTAATCCTGGCTCACTGCAAACGAGGGGCAACCTCATAAAGCAAGGCTCATGACCAGGCTCGTGTTTTAGAAAGATCTTCCAGGAACTCATGTGGGAAGCTTTCAAGAAGGGTGTTGAGGTGACTGCAAGGCTTCTGTGGGACTCTGTGAGAGTGCAGTGGTGACCTGAGCTGGATGGCTTGGTGGGAGTGGAGGAGAGGCTGCCGGGAGGGGCTGGGCCGGCCACAGGGTAAGAGGAGGCAGGTCTGGCCTCTGGACTGGGTCGGTGGTGGTGCTGCCATTCTCCGAGGAGGGATGTTTCCTGTTGGCAGTGCCCTAGGATACCAGAGTGGTATGTTCTGGGGGACAGGTGCAACTGTCGGTGCTCAGGAGTGGCCTGGTGGCTGTCGATCCAGAGTTACCTGTGTGGTCCCTGATGCAAACTGTGGATGTGGTCACACAGGAAGAGGGCGAGGAGTAAGCAGAAGTGGCAGTGGTGTCCTGATTGGGGATGCTGCTGGGCAGGGGCAGGGTGACGGGGAGCTCAGGAAGGAAACCGAGGAGTTAGGAGAGGGGGTCATGGGTCTCATTGCTGGAGGACTGAGTGGGTGCAGGCATACGTGCTGCAGCAGGGACATGTAGCCTGCAGGCAGGTCTGGCAGGCTGGGGCTCCAGGGTGACCAGAACAAGGGCCAGGGTGGAAGCCAGACTGCAGGGCTGAGGAGTGCCAAGGCTGAGGGTGCAGGGTGATGCAGGCAGCCCAGAGGGCATGTTGGGAAGGCCAGCAGGGGCCACTCGTGGATGTGGCAGGTGAAGGACAGTGATGCAGGGTGGGCTCACGTGGGCAGGGGCTATGGAAGGCTGTCCCTGGCAGGGGATGGTGCGTTGGCCCACCACTGAGCCTGCAGTATCTGCAGAGGGTGCAGTGGTTCGTCACAGCTGGGTGGTCTCTTTGCTGGGGGGGCCATGGCCCTGGTTGGAGCAGTTGGCTAGACCCCAGAGCTGCTGTTGTCCCCTTCACAAAGTGGACCCTGACTGGAGGGACGCTCGCCTCTGGTATAGGTCAGCTGTGAGGAGCACAGGTGGGCCGCCTTGGCCACATACTGACAAGCCTGTCATTTGTCCTGTGGAATGGACATCATTTCATGGCCTTTCTCTTTTCTCTGCAGCTTACGGTTGTTCCAGAAGTTTGACACATTCCGGATTCTGGTTTGTGGCGGGGACGGAAGTGTTGGCTGGGTCCTTTCCGAAATCGACAGCCTCAACCTTCATAAACAGGTACCTGGACATGAGGGAGCCAGCCAGGAGCAGAGAGGGTGCTGAGGTTAGAGGGAAGTCCTGCAGTCTCAGCTTCTGTTCATCTCGGAGCACCTGTATTCAGGCAGAGACCGTTGGTGGTTTTGGAGAGTGTGCAGTTTGGTGGCCAGTGCAGAGAGGGGAGAGCATGGGCCACCCCCAGCATTGTGGAGGCCCAGGGGCTCTGGCGATGATGTATGAGGGGGACCTGAAGGGAGCTACAAAAAGAATTGCCCATAAAGGACCCACGGTGGGGAGCAGGGCTGGGTGGGGCTGTTGCTTTACTGGGTGGTTTTTGGCTTGTGAGGAGGGGACAGCATTATACTTGAATTCCTCAAGTTAGAGTCATGGTTCATTGGACTTAGTTTTTTGTATTAAAATGAAAATAGATTTTCCTGGTTGTATATAAAAATGTCCATATGTTCATTTAATTTCTACACCCAGCCGTGGCCTCCTCAGGTGATCAGCCACTGTCAACATTTTGCTGTCTCTGACCTCTCTTGATCACAGTACATACAGTGCACAATGCAGTTATAATTTAAATGGCTAGTCTGTTACTGCTTTTTAAAAATCACTAATTAAGATGTTGCAGACACCTGGTGCCTGTGTGTAAGTAGGCAACCTTGTGTGGTTTTCCACTGGACAGAGCCAGGAGCCCTGGGCCCACTCACCTCCCTCGTGTGTGAGCGCTGAGGTCACTCCCCAGTGTTGTTCTCTCTGAGCGCACCCAGGCTTAATATTGAACTGTGCTGACAAGCTGCCTTTCCTCAAGACTGTGCCAGCTTCCATGCCTGCAAATGCTGCTTAAAGCTGTCCTTTCCTGGGCACCATCCAAGGTGTTCATCTTTTTAGTTTTTGTCCAACTAAGTAGACCAAAAAATTTCTGATCTTTATTTCTTTAATTCCTGGGGAAGTCGAACGTCTCCTCAGTTGGTTAGGAAGTTTTAAATAAATCACCTGTTTATATATTTTTGCCTCATTTTCTCTTTGAGTAGTCACTGTTTTTTCCTTTAAACATGGATGTCTGAAGATTGTTGTTGTATTAACTTCTTACTGTCATTGCAGATTTGTTCCCCGGTTTGTCATTTGTCGGTTCAACATCCTTTTTGGGGGTGGTGGTCTTTTCTTTTGTGATTTTTGCACTTCTGTCATATTCGAAGCTGCCTACACCCACCCCAAGGTTAGGAAGATTTGCACCTGTATTTTCTTATGTTTGTTGTGGTCCCATTAAAAAAAAAATCAGTCTTCTATGTGACATGGGGGTATTTTTCAGTGATTCTGCGGTCCCTATAGCCCTGCCCACTTGGTAGTCTTTCCAGTTGGGTGGACTTTGACAGCCAGGGCCTTGTGGCCGGCAGCTCAGGAGGAGAAGTGGTGCCCCCTGGTGGTGGGTTAGCACAGATTACTCTAAATTTTCATTTTGTGGATGATTTGCCAGTTCACTGTTGGTAGTTAGGAAGACAGTGGAACCTTGTGGCTGATTTGATGCATTCAGGTCAGCACACACTTCTCTCTCTTTGCTTCTCTTGGACACCTGATGTGGTGGCCATGCCCTCACTGGGACCCTGCCACCTGGGGGTGTCTTGCCTTCTTGGCTGCTACCGTTCCGTGGTGGCCTCTCCCTCTTTACCCTCCCCTTAATGCTGTGTCCTCAGAGCCTTGCTGGGGCCTCTCATCCTTCACTCTTGGAATGCTCAGTGACTTGCAGGCCTGTCATCTCTCTCCTGGGGGTGCCTCAGTTGATAGCTGAGCCCTGGGCCTCTCTGTCCTGCTAGTGCCTCGAGCTTCCAACACTGCACGCACTCAGCCCCTGCCTCGCATTCCTTTCCTTGGAGTCTGAAAACATCCATCTAGATGTCTGAGCTAGGAAATCGGACAGTTGTTCTTGGTTCCTCCGTCTCTTCCTCCTGCCTGTTTCTCACTCGTTGTGGGCTCAGTCTTGCCACCCACGGTACCCTGGCCTTTGTCTGTCAGCAGCTCACCTAGGCGACTTTTCCTGGGGCAGTTCTGCCTGTGCACCCCGAAGCCCGACAATTCTTGGAAGAGTCCAGACCTTTAAGAGTTTGTCCCAGCGTGGCCTCCTGCTTGCCCCTCCGCCTGTCTGCCTCCTGGTTCCTCGCTGCTACCTCTTCACTGAGCTCTGCCTTGCCCTCCCAGTGTTGTGCCTCCCTGCCTGGGGCACCACCCATGCGTATTCCGTGCTGTCCTCCTTTTCCTGTAAGGCTCCAGGAAGCCCTTGCGGAGGCCTCAGCCCCTCTGGGTGCACTTCAGCGCTGGGTTCTCTCCATCCTCGCCTGTTCGCTCCTGCCTCTCCCCTGCCAGATGTTCCCTTGGTGAGGCAGGACCTTCCCTGGCATTTGCTGTCCCCACAGGCGACAGGGCCTTAAGCATGGTCCCTTGCACCTGGTGAGCAGAGGGCTGTACAGTGCTGTAGGCTGGACCAGGGCAGCGTTCCTGCCTCAAGGACAGTAACGCTTCCCACAAACTGCACCACAGGCCTTCATGGCCCTGGTTACTGCACTGTGAGAGTCGAAGGCTGGTGAGCTCTGGGCGGCGGGTGTTTCGAGAGGCCCCCTAAGCAGTGAAATGGTGCAGTGGGAGCTCTGGGATGGGACTCCAGGTGGAGGGGTGAGGCGTGAGCAATGCATGAGGTCTCTGGAACGGCAGGCAGGCGGGCGGACGCTGAGCTCTGGCTCTGGCAAGGCTCCAGGGAGGCCTCCAGACTGAGGATGGTCCTGGCACTTTTTTTTGATAGGATTTAGAGAAGTGACACTAGTGGTGTTTTTGGAAGAAGAGTTTGTCATTAGTGAGTGAGGTACTGTAATGGATGGAGGGATGGTGGTGAGGCATTAGAGTGAGTCCTTGGGGCTGTGGTCATGTTGATGACAATGGGAAGCGGGGATTTGGGAGACAGATCAGAGAGGGTGTGAGGGACTGACCATCAAGATGTGGTGACAGCTTGGTCAGTCACCACCATCTCTTGAGAGATGGGGCTGTGGCTCATCCATTTCTCCCAGAAGCAGCATCTTACCTCAAGGGCAGCCACATTCCTGTCACATTGTCAAGGAACATGCCATCTGTCCCTCCAGTGGGCTCTGCCTATAATGTGCACGCTGCATGGGTTTAGGGCACATCTCCATGTTGCTGATGTAACCCTCATGGTGGGTGACAGGGAGGGCGGTGGGCTGGGAGGCGGCCCCACCCCTAGTGTTTGCCTGCACATCTTCCCCGTGTTTTCTTAGTGTCAGCTGGGAGTGCTGCCGCTCGGCACCGGGAACGACCTGGCCCGAGTGCTGGGCTGGGGCTCGGCCTGCGATGATGACACCCAGCTCCCCCAGATCTTGGAGAAGTTGGAGAGAGCCAGCACCAAGATGCTGGACAGGTGAGTGGGGACGTGTTCCAGTGCCGTGTGAGGGGACTTTGAGAGATGGGTGTTAACTTAGGGTCTGTGGAAAACAGGGGCCCTCTGAAATCATTTGTAAAGATATGACCTGAGCATATATTCTGATAGTCTTTGATATTTGGTCAGATTATGACAAGGATAGAAACAAAACAGGTTAAGAACCAGCCATGCCCTAGAATGATCAGGTCTTCCCAGGAGGCCATACCTGAGTATGTCAGGGCCATGGAGCAGGTGGCTGTGCGGTGTTTGGCTGCTTCAGCCCAGGATATGATACCCATTGGAAGAGTGCTCCTTGTCGCTTGTTTGAACGGTTGCATTTTCTCATATTCTGTTCCCAGAAGTTGTTTTGGGAAATCCTCTAGTGCCTAAAGCCACTGTGACACCTTCCCTGAGTGAGGTACTGCTGTTCCAAGTGACACACACAGCACCTGTGGTACATGGGGTGCTGATGAGATGCCTCCTGGCCTTCCTAGGTGCTCCCAGAAGCCTGGGGTTCTGATGACAGGTGTGGTTTTGCAGTGGCCCGCCATTTCAGGCCGCCCCTGTGTGCCTTGGGGCATGTGAAGTGCTCATCTCACTGGGCCAGCAGGCTGCTGGCGGAGCCATTTGCAGCTCTCTTGGGGAGAGTAAATCCATTTCTCTCAGAAGCAGCATCTTATCTCAAGGGCAGCCATTTATGGGTACCCTCCCCTCTTTCATGGAGCTGTATTGCTCTTTTAGTTATGGAGTGCAAACATTTGTTCTCAGCCAAGTTGCAGGACAGAGTCAAGACCAAGGGCTTAAAAATGAAGTCAGAAACTGTATAAAGATCAAGGCTGCCAGCCATGACAGGGGAGGACGCAGGGTCTGCCTTGGGGGCCTGCACGTCTTGCCGCCTGTGCAGCTGACCTTGTGTGTGCAGGTGGAGCGTCATGGCGTATGAGGCCAAGCTCCCCCGGCAGGCCTCCTCCTCCACCGTCACCGAAGACTTCAGCGAGGATTCCGAGGTATTGCTGGCCTGTTCGTCACACCCCGCTCACGTGCTGACGTGATCTGAGCCGTCCTGTCAGCAGTTTGCATCGCCTCCCTTGCAGAGCCGCCTCCCCCTTGGTGACGGGGTGTCACAGTCAGGCCTGCGGAGGTGCAGGGTGAACCCAAGCCTGAGAGGATTCTCACTCCCCTTGGCAGGAGCCTCTTGGGCTTTTGTGACCCTCTAGGGGCTTTTGTGACAACTAGGGTTGTCACAGGCTCTGCGGCAGAGAGGCCGGGGGTCCTCCTAATGGCCTTCCCACCTTGTCTGTACATCTCCTCAGCTGCTCAGTGAGCCCCACATGGTGTTTGCCCGTTCCCTTCCCTGCCGCAGTGCCCGCATACCTGGAATGCCCCAGCCCACTCTGCCACAGCTTTCCTGCAGCCCTGGCTCCCGCCCGGTCTCACCCCTCTGTGGTGTCCATAGCTGCCCTTCGCTCAGCCTCCTCTAGTCCAGCTGGGAGTTCTTTTTATTGGGTGATTGTTTCTGTTTTATTTAAGGCTCCTACAAGTTCCCTCAGAGAACGGACTTTGTCTTCTTTAGTTAGTATTTTGTGCTGGTGCAGTGCTGGGTGGGGTAGTAGAAAGAGGTGAACTTTTTCAGGGCCTAGGGCAACGGTCAGCAAGCAAGGCCTGCAGGCCAGATGTGCCTGGGCCCACGGCCTTGCCAGCCAAGAATGGTTTGTACATTTTTTATTTTTCCTTCTTTTTTTAATTTTGAGAGGAAAAGTGTGTGGGGGAAGCCCAAAATAACTCACTGTCTGGCCGGTAGTGAAGTTCACTGACCCTGGGGCTAACAGCAGGGATCCCAAAGGGACAGGACTCCCCTTCTGACAGGCAGAGCAGATGGTTGGGGGAAGAGTGCGTGTCCAGATGTGGTTCACAGCCAGGCGGAAACAGCCGCTGCTGTGAAGGAACCCAAACCTGGAGCTGGCCCACCAGCGCGCTGCTGTCAGGATGAGCAGAAGTCAGGGCAGGGGCCCCTAGCACAGGCTGTGCTGGGATCGCAGACTCAAGAAGATTCATCTTTAGTTTGTCTGCAGCTTGACGAAGCTTTTAAAGTCTTTGACCTAGCACTAGGTGAGCCCAGAGTAGTGTTGGAAGTGAGTCGAGGCTTGGCCAGGTCAGACAGTGTCGGTTAGGGAGACTCATCTTTCCCAGCCTGTGCTGTCAAGGGACTGGGTGACAGAGATACTGGGACTGCCATGGAGCTTGCTGTCACAGAGACCAACGGCGCCTGCATTTGGGGTGATTGCAGGTGCAGCAGATTCTCTTCTATGAAGACTCCGTTGCAGCCCACCTTTCTAAAATCCTCACCTCGGACCAGCACTCAGTGGTCATCTCCTCGGCTAAGTGAGTGCCCGGCGGCCCTGGAAGAGGCATGGGGTTCTGGCTCCAGCCTGGAGCTGCCTCTCTAGAAGGATCTTTCTGTTTCTCTCCCCACAGAGTGCTCTGTGAGACAGTGAAGGACTTTGTGGCCCGAGTGGGGAAGGCCTATGAGAAGACGACCGAGAGCTCAGAGGAGTCAGAGGTCATGGCCAAGAAGGTCTGTCCCCGGGCCCCAGGTGGGGGGGGCACCAAGGCAGCGAGAAGCTCCCTCTGTCACTGGGAGAGGGTCGTGACTGCAGCTTGTCCAGGTTCTTGGTGTTTTAAATAAAGAATTAGACAAAACACACAGCAAAGCAAGGAAAGAGTGAAGCAACAAAAGAACGAAAGCGGTGATTTATTGAAAACGAAAGTACACTTCACAGTGTGGGAACAGACCTGAGCAGCAGCTCAGGGACCCAGATACAGAATCTTCTTTGAACCCAAGATCCCCCGGAAGTTTCCCGTCGGCCACATCATGCTCACCTCGTGTAAATGAAGTCATAGCCCACAGTCTGAGTGGTTGCAGAAAGCAGCCAACCAGAGTCCGAGGTGACATTACAAAGGTCACACTCCTACAAAGTTGCACTTCTATGCAGGCTGAGACTCAGCTGCTGTCAGTCTGGTGGGTTGTGGACAGCTGGTTTCCCACCTGCCAGGTGGAGAAGGGGGTGGGGTTTGCAAAGGGAATAGCCTCTGGTCCTTTTGTTAGCTTAGGCATGGGGGATTTTCCTTTCGGTCGAGTTCTCGGAGGTCTGGGTGAAATGGCCTCGGGTTCCCTGCCTCCATACCTGCTCTCCTGCCTCAGCTCTGCATATCACTTCCTTTCCCTGTCTAGTGCTCTGTCCTGAAAGAGAAGCTGGATTCCCTTCTCAAGACCTTGGATGATGAGTCCCAGGCCTCGTCCTCTCTGCCCAATCCACCCCCAACCATTGCTGAGGAGGCTGAAGATGGAGATGGGTCAGGCAGCATCTGTGGCTCCACTGGGGACCGCCTGGTGGCATCGGCCTGCCCAGCCCGGCCACAGATATTCCGGCCTCGAGAACAGCTCATGCTGAGAGCAAACAGCCTGAAGAAAGCGATTCGTCAGATCATAGAACACACAGAAAAAGGTGACTGGTATTTTGAAGACGAGGGGGCTTTCCTCAGGCCAGCACCTGCACACCTGAGTGTCCATGTGCCACTCCTCCCGCCTGCTGCCCTCCAGCCTGTGTCAGGCTCCTCTGCATCCCTTGCCTTCCAAGGGTTCCGGTCCTCCCAGCCTGTTAGCAGGGATGCCCTGCCCTGGTGCCAGGACCAGGGGAAGGCAGGCAGGGGTGGGGGTTCAGGGTCTAAACCTTTAGCCAGAGGATGTTTGAGGAAGATCAGGCTGTGGGCAAGGAGGAGACCTCCACCCAGCCCGACAGCACCGTTGGCTTTGAACCCACTTGCTCAGCCACACACATTCTTCTTGCACAGCTGTTGATGAGCAGAATGCCCAGACCCAGGAGCAGGAGGGCTTCGTCCTGGGCCTCTCTGAGTCAGAAGAGAAGATGGACCACCGAGTGTGCCCACCACTGTCCCACAGCGAGAGCTTTGGGGTCCCCAGGGGGAGGAGCCAGCGCAAAGGTACCCGTGGTTCCGCCTCCCTCTGCGCACCACGGTGTGCTTGGTTTTGGTGGAACGTAGTGGGCTTGCCAGGGGAGGTTGAGGGCGCTTTCTTATAGCTGCTTTGGCCACTTGGTATAAAAATTCACAGCCCGAGGCCTGTTTCTGTGGATCTCCTGTGTGCCCTTGAGGTGTGTGCAGTCGGCCTTCGTGGACACCAGTAGAATCCACAAGACCCCCTTTGTCAGGGCAAGAACCCCCTCCCTGAGGAGTACTTGGCATCTTGCTTGGCTTCCTCAGAACCACACTGGGCCCCAGAGCTGCTCGAAAGGGGCTGTGTGTGGCAGGGGGAAGATGGGTGGGTGAGGGTGGGCCTTCTTTGTCCTTGCCTCTCCTGGAACAGCCCACAGTGCAGGACCTGGTGGAAGGTACCCCCTAAGCCTGGTGGGTTGCTGGGAGGCCCGTGGTCAGAACTGACCCACGGCCACTGCATGGCCACCACTCAGAGCTCTGCTGTGTGTGTGCTCTGCCTCCCATAGCCCTGACTGGCGTCACCCCTCCAGTGCTGCCACCTGTGGCCTGTGTCATCTTCTCCATGAGCCCAAGCCCTCCGAGCATCCTGTGTACCCACTCAGTCCTCCGTCCCCTCTTTGTCCCACACACTTCACACAGCAGCCTGTGGTTTGCAGCCCTCCCTCCTCAGCCCTCCCACCTGCTTCTGTCATTCAGGATCCCCAGGTATTTCAGCAGTCTCTATTTCAGACAACTCTGAGGTTTTCTGCTCTGTTCTTACAGTGTTGAAATCCCCGTGTGAGAAGTTGATCAGCAAAGGAAGTCTGCCCCTGGGCAGTTCAGCTTCCCTTCCACCCCAGCCGGGAAGCCGGGACAGCCTGCCTGCACTCAACACCAAGATCCTGTACCCAAGTGAGTGGTGGCCAGGAGGACCAGTGGGGGCCTTAGTGCAACGCCGGGCCTGTTAACTGTGCTGGGCGCTGGGCCCGTCAAACTGAAAGAGATGGGGTCGCTGCCCTTGGAGAGTTTACAGGTCCTGAGAAAGCTAGGTGGAATTTAAGCATTTACACGACTGTATGAAAGGTGCTTTTTTTTTTTTTTTTTTTTTTTTTTTTCTTTTCTTTAAACAAGAGCCAGGTAGTAGCCAAATAACCACCCAAGGAGCCCAGGAAGACATCATTGAGAAGGTGATGCTTGAGTCGGGTTTTGAAGAACAAAGGAATTATCTGAGTGGAAAAGGGTGTGGCCTGCCTGATGATGGAACCCGAGGGATGGTCCCCTGCTTCTAGTGTGGTCATAGGAGGTGTAGGGAGGGTGAGGTCCTGGCTGCCTGGAGCGTTCCTTGATGTTCACTTCTTATAAAGGCAACCTTATAAAGCCGTAAGCCTCAACTCTCAAGGATCATTTTTGTTTGAGTGGCTTACATTGAATGAGAACATGAGAACTCACTTTATAAGCCTTTTTCTTTTTTTTTTAAGAGGGTCTCTCTCTATTGCCCAGCCTGGAGTGCAATGGTGTGGTCATGGCACACTGCAGCCTTGACGTCCTGAGCTCAAGTGATCCTCCCCCCTCAGCTTCCTAAATAGCGGTGACCACAGGCACATACCACCACATCTGGCTTTATAAGCCATTTTTTAAGGTATTTCGTAGGTGTTTCTGCCACCCAATATGGTTTTTTTGTTCCAGTGATTTTTGACTTAAGACTTGCCAAATTTGGACGTGGTTATATATAATTTTAGAGACATTTAATTAGAATAATGTTCTGCAGAATACCAGTCCACCAGCTTCAGAGACACGAGTTTTTCTTAGTCTGCAGCTCCTGACTGGCACCACCTCTTTCTTATATCTCCTTTACAGATGTCAGGGCTGGAATGTCTGGTTCCTTACCTGGTGGCTCAGTCATCAGTCGCCTGTTAATTAACGCTGATCCCTTTAACTCCGAACCAGAAACCCTGTGAGTATGAGGGATAAACCAAGTGGGCATATTGTTACATGGATGCTAGTGCATTGAAAACTGGTCTCAGAATTAACTAGAGAAATTGGCGAGCGGTTGCCTAGCTGGTGATAGCTGATGAGGAAGGCTGAGAAGTTGTGGAGATTCCGCTTCAGGAGTGGAGCTGGGAACCACTACCGCACGTCTGCTGCAGGGCAGAGCACACACCTCCCAGCTCCTTCCCAGGTCCCACGGCATTTGCTCCGCATCCCTTGAAACTGCAAGCTCTTCCGAGGCTTTCCCAGGCTCGGCTGCTCCCGCTGGGAGTTGTCCTTGTGCTGCTCTTCGTGGTCACTCTCCCATGACCTTGGCCGGACCTTGCTGACCTCTGCTTACAGCTTGCCATCTTCCTCTTGCCATCTCTTACCCTGCTTTCCTCTAATGGCTGCTCTCCTTGTTGGTGATGCAGAACCCTAGACTCCAGGCTGGAGGGTCCTCTCTGTGCCCCCCTCGTGTCTTGGAGCACCCTAGGGAGACACGGGCTTGTACTGAGGCTTGTAAGGACTGCTGTGTGCCCATGTGCTGACACTGCTACTCCTTTGGGGACGAGGCCTTCTTCCTCTGCTGGCCTGTAAGGCAGTGATGACATTGATACAGCAGCATAATGGAGTCTTCCTAGGTGTTAGGGACCATTGTGGTGATAAGTGGTGTTTTGAAAACCTGTTTTTCTAGAGTCATCTTTCTGCTGGCTGCTTGCAGGTTCTAGGTGGCTGGTGGCAGTTGGTTAAATGTGGCAAGCCATTTTTCTGGCGTGGTCAGGGACATTGACAGCAAGAAGTGTGTGGTTCACAGAAGCTCTGAGTTTGGGAAAGTGGACCCCTAAACTCCAGGTGCTGGCCTGGTGTGACACTTGTGTGTCCCTGTTCCTGGCCTGGTCTGCTTCTCCCATGGGCCTGCCTGGGGCTCCAGTCCTCAGCCTTCCTGAGGCTGTTTTCCTCCGGGAGGCCAGAGCTGCAGTCTTAGTGAGCACTGCCTCTCGGGCCCCTTAACTAGGTATCTCCTTTGTCTACTTCATCTGAGATTATGGAACTTCACTTCTGTTGCTAAGCTGGGTGGTCTCATCTCTTCACCTGGGGAGACAAAGCTGTCTTTCTGCCATGGTGTGTGCGGGGCCATATTGTGTGGACCCCATTGCGGTTGGGCCTGAGCAGGCCTCTGCAGCCCGTCGTCTCCCACTGCCCCAGCCACTGCCACACATCCTGCTTCAGGCCCCTGAGCCCAGTCTCTCAGCCGCCTTCCCTCATCTCTGTGCCCTGTTTCTCTCCGTTGGATCTCTCTTTTTCCAGGACCTATAAATGCTGGCCAGGCACATGGTCTTCTGCCTGGTAAACAGTTTGTCCCAGAGTTTTGCTGTGGCTCAGCTGTCGAGCATTTGAATTAGATGGATCGTAAATACACTGACACGGGCTGGTGGTTCTCAGATCCAGTGGCACTGGCTCAGTAGGCTAAAGTGTGTCAGAATTCTGGCCCAAGCAATGTTCCCAAGCCCATCCACCTATTGAGTCTCTTTGGGAACTTCCAGAACATTCTCTTCTCCTGGCTGCAGGCTCTGGGTGGAGAAACATGGTCTTCCTTCAACCACCTGCCCTGGGGGAGGGAACCCCAGCGTGATCCTGGGGCTGGGGTGGGTGAAGGCCAGGCAGGGGTTTCCCAGCAGCTGGGGGAGCTGCAGGGGCAGGACTTCCAGCTGGGGGAGGACAAGAAACTTGAATGAGATGAGCCTCTTCTCGTCTGTGGCACACAGGGAAAGAGAAGGCCTTATTTTCTTTGGGCTAGGATGGATGTTTTCAAGTCATTTTTCTTTTTAGTTTGGCCACTGCTTTGTGATTAGGGATGTTCAAGAAATGTTTTGAGATCCAGAGTTGAAATGTGTGAGTTTCTGTGCCATAAACATACTTCAGGTTTGGTGCCGCTGGTGGAGTGTCAGAAGGGCAGCCGCTGTGAGGAGCGGTCCGGCAGGCTCCGCCCGTGGTTCAGCCTAGAGCTTCCATGTGACCGGCAGATGCAGAACTGCCAGGCCGTGTGGGATTGAACTGAAAACACGTCCACGCTAGGAGCTGTATATAAATGTTCCTAAATGATAACCAGAACGTGAACATCCCTATGTCCAGCTGCAGATGAACAGGTCAATAAATGTGGGTTAGCCATGCGACGGAGTATTATTTGGTAATAAAAATGAAGTACTGACATATGTCACAACATGGATGAACTTTGGAAACATCATCCTGAGGAAGAGAAAGGAGCCAGACACAGAGCCCACAACTGCAGAGCCCATTTCTGTGAACTGCCCAGAAGAGACACCTCCATGGAGGTGGAAAGTAGACGAGTGGCTGCCAGGGATGAGGAGGGCGGTAGCTGCTGGTGGCAGGGGCACAGACTTCCACCTCAGGGGTTGAAATGCTCTAAAATCGATTATCTAGTGATGGTTAAGTGACTCTTTGAATATGCTAAACGTTATCAAATTGTGTATTTTACGTTGGTAGATTTATCTGGTATATGAATTATATCTTAATAAACCTCTTATCAGAAAAAAAAGAAAAAGGTATCATATTTGCCCTAAGGAAGAGAAATTCGGAGAGGTTGGGAGTCTGAATGAAATAAGACCGGTAAGCAGGGCTGTGGTATTTGACTTAAAACTCCCATTGGCAGAGAGTACTATACAGAGAAGTGTGTCATGAACAACTATTTTGGCATTGGCCTGGATGCGAAGATATCCCTGGACTTCAACAACAAACGCGACGAGCACCCGGAGAAGTGCAGGTGGGTAACAGGCTGGAAGCGTGTCTGTCCGTTGTGTCTTTGTGGCTTCTCCCTCTAGACAGTAGCAGATTTCTGGAGTCAGCAGGTTAAAGAAGGTGCAGAATGCTAAGGCGGAGGGCAGAAATGGAGCCCGATCGCCTTGTCAGAAGCAGAGGTGCTTTCAGAGGTGGGAGGGAAGCAGGTAACAGTCCAGGGAGCCAACCTGGAGGAGGGGTCTACTTCTCAGGCTGGCCAGGTCAAGGGAAATTTGACATCAGAAAACCAGTAATGGTGGTCATTGTGATGGCTGCGTCTCTCAATGAGAGCCCTAAATCTGTGATGCTGCAGAAAAGCAGCAGGTGACGTAGAGTATGCCAAGAAGCTGTGGCACCTGCAGTGTGAGTGCCCAGCATTGTTTGTGGGTGGGTCTGTGAGTTCATCGCCATCCCAGCTGGCCCTCCCCTACCACACCTGAGCCTGCCCACAAGGCCCTTGATTCTGTTGACAGTAGCGTGTGAGCCCCAAGGGGCATCTCTGGGGATGCTCAGTTTTTTCCCCTAAAATTACCAGATGCTCCCTCCTGGCCTGAAGAGAGGACAGAGAAAAATGAGAAGGGTCCCTCTTTTCAAGCTTCTCTTCCTGGGCTGAAGTGGAATTTCCTCTTGTCTGTGAAACACGAGAAGTGAGGGAGAAATGTCTTCTTCCCCAGCCCACAGTAATAATCTGAGAGACTGTTTGGCTTTGATGTGATTAGAACTAGGGAGGGGGAGAAATGGGTGTGGGGGGTTGGCAGTCTTTGTTGACCCAGAAGCTGGGAGACCTTTGCTGGAGTCTTCCTCTGCTGAATCAGGATCGACTTGAATGAACCAAGCCACATCCTCCTCACGGTGTCACTGCCACCTTGAGGGGAGCTATGCTGACACCCGAGGGGCCAGCTTTAGTTGTTGCTCACATTATATGCAGTTGGAAATTTCTAGGAAAACAAAAGCATCACAACTCAAAAACCAGTTGAACTCTGAGGCTCTTCCATGCAGGATAGTGGCTCGATGGCACCAGGGACATATCCCTGTACAGCACAGGATGGTGAAGTCAGATCATTAAAAAATCCCTATTGGTCCAAAAATCACTGGGAAAAGTATGAAAATACGCACACTTCAGCAGGGTAAAATAAGCTGAGGAACAAGGGCATGCATAATACATTTCTAGAGCCCTGGAACCCTGGTTAAACCTCCCTTGCGTTTGTATTGAGAGCTTTGAAAAGTTCTCCTGAGAAAAACCCCATTTCTACAAAGGTCATTGGAAACTTCTATAGAAGTCATTGGAAACGTTGGTTGAAGTGGGTATGAAGGGGCTCCTCGTGTGTCATTTACAGAGCTCAGGCATGGGAAGAGGGGTGCAGTGAAGGGATTGAGCTGATGAGCTGCGGTAGAGTCGTGCCCAGCTAAGGATGGCATGTCTGCAGAGAGCATGTGGCAAGTGAGGGAAGTGTTGCTGGCGCAGGGTCAAGTGGACCAAGTAGGTTGCAAAACTGTAAACAAGTGAACGCAACTGGAAATTAATACCCAGGGAAGACTGCCGGAAGTACACGGTGGCACCTGGCGTTTGCCATCAGCATGTGTGGAGAGCACGCACAGTGCTGGATGATGCATAGAGGGTTATGAGGAGTGTCGTCTTCTTGGTGCTTTTCTATATTTTCAAAATTTTCTATGGTAAGCATAGTTTTTTAGCTAGAAAAAAATCAGGATGTGTAGTTTTATAGGATTCTATAATGTTTTAACTTTACCTTTTAGGGTTGGATTACTTTCTTGGCAAAATGTTACTATTTAGCCAAATTTCTTACTGGTAAATGTATCTTTTTATGTGTATCTGCAAAAACAAAAATTTGTCCTCAGATGTTCCGCTGTAAATAGTTGCTGAATTTGGCAGATTTGTGGGTCAGATGCCATTCCTAGCTTTCACAGAAATGACTCTGGTTAAGTGTACAGAGAAGGCTCAGACCCATGGCAAGTCTTCGCTTCTGTTTCTAGGAGCCGAACCAAGAACATGATGTGGTATGGAGTTCTTGGAACCAAAGAGCTGCTGCACAGAACCTACAAGAACTTGGAGCAAAAGGTCCTGCTGGAGGTGAGTGGAAAGGTCCTTGTCACTTGCAGGCCGGCCCCCATCCATCAGAGGACTGCATTTCGGTTCTCCTCTTGGCCCTTTCTTCCACACACGGGGACTCGCTTGAGGATGCCCTGGCTGCGGCTATGCTTCTGAGCCCCTGGCAGTGGGAAGCTGGTGAAGAAAGGAGCAGCTGACACATGCCTTTCTCTTTTCTTTTGTTCTGCCTCTCTGCTGCTCAGTGTGACGGGCGACCCATCCCCCTCCCCAGTCTTCAGGGAATTGCTGTCCTTAACATCCCCAGCTATGCCGGAGGAACCAACTTCTGGGGTGGCACCAAGGAGGATGATGTATGTATGGGGGTGTGGGGTGGGTGGGCCTGAGCTCAGCGGGGAGGAGCTGTCTGAGGGCAGTGAGGTGTTTCTGTGGATGGGGTGGAGGCAGCCCTTCCCTTGTGCCAGCAGTGGGGCTGCCATGGAGAGTAAGATAGACAGGGTCCCCCACCCAGCTCATCATCTAGAGGGCTGAACAGAGCGGAGGTATCAGTGAGGGTGGTCAGTGAGCGTCTGTGGTCAGCAGATGTGGTCAGAGGGTGTGATGTGGGAGGAAGGTCAGGGAAGGCGTCTGAGAGGCCAAGACCTGAAGGATGACTTGGAGTTGGCCGAGTTAGGTGGGCTGGGAGAGGGCGAGGCTGTTCCAGGCAGAGAGAATCGCATAGGTGAAGGCTCAGAGGCAAGACAGGACAGGCGCCTGGAGGACGTGGGAGACGTGCCCTGACTGCAGTGGGCAGTGGGGCCGTGGAGAGACAGGAGAGGCCTGCAGGGCCTGGGTCAGGTCAGGCCGTGTGAGCCAGGGGAAGAAGGTGGAATTTGTGTTAAGAACTGTGGGAAGGTGTTGATAGGTGTAAAACAGGGAATGGCTTTCTTTGTACATAATAGCGAATAGAAGTGTTCAGCGCTCCCTGCACACATGTGCTGCTCCAGTCCTGGCGCTCTGCAGTGTTAACTCACTCAGGCCTTCTGATGTCCCGGGAGGAGCGTGGTGTTAGTTTCCCCATTTTACACATGAGGAAATGGGAGAGAGAGATTCAGTAACTTTGCTGAGGTCAGAGCTGGGATTTGGTCCCAGGCAGCTGGTTTCAGGGTCTGCAATGTGAAGCCCCTCAGGAGTGCAGTTACCTGGTAACTTCCTGTCAGCAGCCTAAGGGAGGGGCTGGCCCCGAGAGGGAGGGAGCCAGGGGAGGGGCGGCCTGTGTGTGGGGCTGTGCTGGGCGGTGGTCAGCTCTAACGTGGCCCTTGCAGACTTTCGCAGCTCCGTCATTCGATGACAAGATTCTGGAGGTGGTTGCCGTTTTTGGCAGCATGCAGATGGCAGTCTCTCGAGTCATCAGGCTGCAGCATCACCGGATCGCCCAGGTAGTGGCCATGGTCCTGGGAGGTCTGGCCGAGTCCCCAGCCAGGGGTGTGCTAAATTCCCAGGCAGCGCATGGAGCCTGGGAGGGTGGGTGCTTTCCAGGACCACGTGGCTGCCTCATGTCCTGTTTGGGACAGCTTGTGGCCCTGCTTCCTGGGCCAGGGCCTTTCCTCATGCTGTGCTTGACAGTTAAATTCTCAAGGTAATTTTTTTTTTTTTAAGGCAGTGTCTCACTCTGTTTCCTAGGCTGGTGCAGTGGCGCCATCTTGGCCCACTGCAACCTCTGTCTCCCTAGCTCAAGTGATTCTCTTGCTTCAGCCTCCTAAGTAGCTGGAACTACAGGCACCTGCCACCATGCCCAGCTAATTTTTTTATTTTTAGTAGAGATGGAGTTTCCCCATGTTGGCCAGGCTGGTCTGGAACTCATGACCTCAAATGTTCCACCCACCTTGGCCTCCCAAAGTGCTGGGATTACAGGCGTGAGCCACTTCACCTCACCTGGCCAAGATAACTCTTTCAAAACATATTTCCCACTTGAGCCCCAGCCTTGCCTGTCCCCTCTCAGGTGGGATGAGATAGAGCAGACCAGGCTGAACTCTGCCCATGTCTGCAACTGTCAAAGCCGCAGCTGGAGGTGGGGATGGAGCCGATGGCTCTGGCATGGGGTGAGGAGGGAATTCCAACTGGGGCTTTTGATCACGCTTCTGGAGGCCCAGTGGGGAGGGGCTGGGGGGCCCCCATGGCTTATTTCTGACAGCAGTGATGGACTGGGGGCAGTCTGTGAGGATGGGGTGGGACTCTGTGCCCAGGCACAGGCACTGGGGTGGCAGAGGGTGCTGATGATACCCACTGGCTGAACCCCAGCCTGGGACTGTCTGGTCTCTTCCTGTACTCTGTCCACCCCTGGCTGTAGGCTGCTTGAAGTTCACAGTTTTCCCTCTGGCAATGTTAGTTGTTGAAAAGGAGGAACAGGGCATTGCCGTCCACTGTGTGGAGATGCATTCATCTGCTCTTTTCTGGGGGTGTTTCCACGTGGCAGGGGCCCAGCTGCTGCTGGGAACTACGACACCCCCGCCCCTGGGTTCTGATGCCTTTATGTCAGCACCAGGGTCTCCTGCACTGACTGCTTGGTGGATGAGGGGATGGGGCAGGATGGGGTGGGATAGTGGGAGAACAGACCTTTGGCTCAGCGAGGCTACAGCAGAAGGCTAGCTGCAGGAGTAGCATCGTTCCAGAGGTGGAGGTGGGGTGTCCTGCAAGGCAGGGACCGTGTGTGGAGTAGGAAGGTCATGGTGGTGCCTAGCACTTTAAAACCCCTGGGGGTTTTGGCTCAGCGCGAGTAATAGCTCTGATGTCTGCTCAGTGTCGCACGGTGAAGATCTCCATCCTTGGGGATGAGGGCGTGCCTGTGCAGGTGGACGGAGAGGCCTGGGTCCAGCCGCCAGGGTACATTCGGATTGTTCACAAGAACCGGGCACAGACGCTGACCAGAGACAGGGTAAGAGCGGCTGCCTGCAGTGCCTGGGCGGGGTCAGGGCTCACCTGCGGGCTCTCATGTGCACTGTTAAAAGAAGAGCTGGAGCTTTCCATGTTTTGTTCTAGGATTTTTTTTAAGACACAAAGATGAAGCTAATAGGGCAGTAATTTCTAGGACCATCTCCTACCTGTAATGTTAAAAAGAAAGAAGTCCCCACCTGTCCCTCTCCTAGCTGTGAGCACGTTGGTATCCCAGTAGTGTCCGTCACAGTTTGACACATGCATGCAGAGCAGCAGGTGTCATCTGGGCTCTCGGGTCCGCAGGCATTTGAGAACACCCTGAAGTCCTGGGAAGACAAGCAGAAGTGTGAGCTGCCCCGCCCTCCATCCTGTTCCCTGCACCCGGAGATGCTGTCCGAGGAGGAGGCCACCCAGATGGACCAGTTTGGGCAGGCAGCGGGGGTCCTCATTCACAGGTGGGCTCCCACCCCTCAGCGTTGTGCATGAGCATCCCCTGGGGTTCCCAGGGCTGTGCTCCTCCAGGGCAACCTGGGCCATTACTTTAAAAAAAACAAGACAATTACTTAGGGGCATTTTGCCTGCTTCCAGAAATGCCCCTGGAGCCACTGTGTCACTCAGTGTGGTCAGCACTGTCCGCCATCCCTACTCCTCGCCTGCCCCGTGTGGCTGCCTCCGCCTGCCAGCCTGTGAGCCCCTCCAGCTGGCACCCATGGTTCTTCAGTGGTGCAGGGCCTTCCTGCCTGCATTCTCCTCCCTGTGGCCACATGCTGGCTAGTACCCTGGTGTCCTTTTCTTGTTTGCCTTGGGCTCCCTCTTCTCCTGCCTGTGACTGGGGCACTCGTGGGTTCTGGGTCCGGCATGCTGTATGCCCTTCCAGGCAGCCTGCCTGTGGCCCTGGCATGCAGATGGATCATCTCTGCCAGTCTCTGGCTCTCGTTGAGCAGGTAGTCACTATCCCAGTCTGCCAGCGTTCATCGCTCCTCACTTCCATACTGGCTGTGGTCCTTCCCGGTCCTGCATTTTCTGCCCTGGGAGTTGGTGCCGCTGCGGTCCCCAGCCTCGTCTCTCCCCCACCTCACCCAGATCAATGGTGGGGCTGGAGGACTTCACTTCAGCTTATTCCTTGCTGTGCAATGGGCTTGGTGGCCTCCCTTGGAAGGCCATTCCCCTGTCCTCTCAAAGTCCATGGTGGCCCCAGTGGCCTCCGTGGAAGGAGAACTTGCACAGCACCGTGGAAAGCTGCTGGCAGCAGCCTGTTTCCACAGGGTCAGGACAGGTTGGCCCCACAGCCTCTGCCTGCACTGCTCCTATAGTCACCGTCCCTTCCTCCCCCCACCTGCCTGAGCCATGTCTCAGCCTCTCTGAGACCCAGTGTGACTTGTGCTGTGACTGTCTTCCCCGTAAGGGCTGCTGCCTGGGGTCTGGCTCAGAGCCCATCACTGCACCAGGATTGTCGTCTTCAGACAAGAGTCATTTTGTCCTCAGGGATAGACCGGCCAGTTACAGGTTCCAGCAAGGCCGTGGGCACCTGGGGATCGTGCCTTACTGCAGCAGTCTCTGCAGTAGGCCTGTGCACCCTGCCGCTTGTGGCCGTTTTGCAGGTTGTAAGCCTCATTTTGTACATTTCTTTCCCTGGAAAAACTTGGATTTTGACATCAGATTTCTTGTGTGAGCCCTCCCATTTGCTCTTGGTTGGCTTGTGCCCAGGCTTGTGATTGAACGGTCGCTGGGCTGAGCCATGATTCCTGTCATCCTGCTGGGCCGCCCTCCACATCGGCCCTCCGGGAGATGAATGTTGTGAAAGGCCACCCTTCCATTTGGCCTGACATCTGCCTGTGCTTCTCTTCTCTCTAGCATCCGAGAAATAGCTCAGTCTCACCGAGACATGGAGCAGGAACTTGCCCACGCCGTCAATGCCAGCTCCAAGTCCATGGACCGTGTGTATGGCAAGCCCAGAACCACAGAGGTAGCGATTCTGGCCTTTCAGTGCTGGCCTCTCCTCGGCGTCTGCAGCACTTGGGCCTCCCCGTGAACGTTTGCCTTGATTTCTCCTAGGGGCTGAATTGCAGCTTTGTCTTGGAAATGGTGAATAACTTCAGAGCTCTACGCAGTGAGACGGAGCTGCTGCTGGCTGGGAAGATGGCCCTGGTAAGCTGGTGCCCCGGGGACAGCAGGGCTTGGGCAGCGTGTGAAGCGACTGCTGTTGCCAGGTTTCTGGGCAGAGGGCAGCACACTTTAGTCCAGAGTTCCCGGCCTTAAGGAAGGGAACTGCGAGGTCATCTGGTCTGCCCTGAGCTGGGGCGCACCCCTTCTGGTAGCCCCTCAGTCAAGCCCTCTGGAGCGTGTGAGACCCACTTGCAGCAGGAATACGTTGTCGAAGACAGAAGATGCATTTTGGCCGTAGAAGACTGTAGTGCATCTGGCCACACGCTTAGGCACCTTCCTCCTTCAACCCTGCAAGCCGGTGTTACGTCAGCGCTGGAGCAGCTGGGGGCTGTTCCTCAACCTTAGAGGCTGGAACAGGGAGCGGCCTCAGGCAGCCTGGCCCCTACCGCTTTCAGACAGGAGGAGGAAGGGACTTGCTGAAGATGAGGCAGCCAGAGAGCCAGCCAGGAGTGGGCTCCCGGCCCTCGACGCCTCACCACAAACACACAGCTCCTCACCACACACATCTCCTCACCACACACACAACTCACCACACACATCTCCTGACTACACACACACACAACTCAACACACACATCTCCTCACTCCACACACACACATCTCCTCAGCACACACACACAACTCCTCACCACACACACACACAACTCATCACACACATCTCCTTACCACAGACACAACTCACCACACACATCTCCTGACCACACACACACACAACTCAACACACACATCTCACCACACACACAAACTCACCACACACACACAACTCATCACACACATCTCCTCACCACATACACACAACTCCTCATCACACACATCTCCTCACCAAAGACACAACTCACCACACACATCTCCTGACCACACACACAAACTCAACACACACATCTCCTCACCACACACACACACAACTCACCACACACATCTCCTCACCACACACACACA